AGCCTGTCCCTGGCCAGGCCTTCAGGAATAAGGCTAGGCTGGAAATTTCCTTTGACAGCTGCCTGGGTGTGAGGTTTGGGTGGCCAGATAGCACACTGTGTTTGGAAGTGCAGGTCCCAGAATCCACAGGTGCCTACTACCCCAGGGCTCTCTGGGCCAGCCCCTACCCCATGCAGACAAGCAGGCCCCAAACCCTGTTCTACCACCTTGTCTGAAACACTTCCTACCACCTCAAACACACACGGCCCTGCCTCTCTACCTGCATGCTACAGACCAGCAAATGGATGCTGGAGCTGCCTTGCCCTGAGGATGTCTTCAAGCCAAAGTCTGTGCTGAGGGCTTTACACACAGTCCCACTCCCTCCTCACAGCAGCTGTGAGCAAGCACCAGGATCACCCCACTGATGGTCAGTTTTGTGTGTCAACTTGCCTGAGTAACAGTCCCCGGTGATTCAATCAAACACTCATCTAGGTGTTGCTGGAAAGGTATTTTGTGGATGCCATTCATATCTACAACCAGTCGACTTTAAGCAAGGAGCTTATCCTTGATAGTGGGGTGGGCTTCATCCAATCAGTTGAAAGCCTTAAGAGCAAAAGGGAGATTTTAGTGACTTGCCCAGCCAGTCCCCACAATACATATACACACATGCATGCCTTGGAGGTAATGTGGGTCTGGCTCTAGGCCACAGCAATAAAGTGAATCATAATCTTTTTGCTGGTGGAAGGGGTTGCCTTCAGTTTGTAAAGAACTCAACACCTGTGAAGTGCAGTAGACCTAGGTATGCCTGTGCCTCCTACTGGTTCAGCTTCTCTGGGAGAACCGACTGTGTTCACTTGTAAAACAGAGCTGAGGAGACCTAGGCTCAGTGAGGTCAAGGGAGATCCTATCAGTCAGGAAGTGTCAGCCCCACAGCTGTGAGGTGGGGGCGGCATTCTAGGCATTGCCTGGAGCTTGCTCTTGTTCCCTCTGACCTCTCCCCACACCTCTCATCTTCCCCCCACTTTCCCATCCAGCTCCTCTTCCTGGGGCAGTGCTGCTGGGTCCTCATTCCCCTGGGCCTGTGCTGATGGTGCTCATCCAGTCAGCTGTGGGCTCTCTTCCCTCCCCAACCTTGGGCAGTGATGCTTACTGCCTTTCCAGCCATGTCCCATGCCTGGGTCCAGAGCAAGCAAGTACCTGGAGGTCCAGGGTCGTGTCTAACTTTCAGGTACAGTTCTCCAGGGGCCCAGCTCCCTCCAGGCCCAGGCTCAGCCTATACTGTCCACCCTGGGCCACCCTGGAAGAGGGGTGGTCCTCTCTCCCTCAAACTCGCTCTCTGTAGACGGGCACTATACCCACCCAGGCCCCAGCTGGAGGTCTATGCTCACTGGGAGGACAGGGCCTGCTAGGGGAAGGTGCTTTGGGTCCGATGAGAGCTCCCTGGACTCCCTCTGAGAAGAAATGTGACTTGATGGCCTCCAGTGTCCTGCTAGTCTCCTGCAGGGACCTGCCTTGGCACCCAGAATTGTAGAGAATTTTGAGGGGTATGGTCCGGAGGAAAGCGTCTCTGCTGGGCCTGCTCTTCTCCCACTGGCACATCCATGTCACATCTTCCAGGCCATCACACAAGGGCAGCCAGCCAGGCCTCCTTCATCCAAAGCAGACAAAACATGACCCTTGAGGCTTGTTCCTAAAAGGGCTGAGAGGCCTGCTGCAGAGGTGATGGGGAAAGGAAGGC